ACCATGGGTTATGTACTTGGCACCTTTGCCAAAATGCTTTGAAACATTTGGGGAACATATATAAGGATGGTTCACAATTTCCTACTCGATTTAAAGAGTGTGTGTATGGATACGAGGAAGAGCATGAATTATTTGAGGCTTGGAAATTGTTGCTTGCGGAGTATAATTTGCATGATAATATGTGGATGAAAGCCACTTGGGCATTGCGAGAGAAATGGGGGCATGTGTATATGAAGAGGACTTTCACTGCGGGAATGAGAAGCACCTAATTGAGTGAGAGCTTGAATGCAGCTTTACGGAAGTACTTAAAGCCAGACCATGATATTGTTCAGTTCTTTGTACATTTTGAAAGAGTTGTGAATGATAAGCGGTATAAGGAGTCAGACTCAGAATACCAAGCTAGGCAAAAATTACCTAGATTGAAGTTGAAAAGAGCTCCAATGTTAGTCCAAGCAGGGCAAGTGTACACTCCTATTATGTTTGACCTGTTTCAAGAGGAGTATGATATCTTTTAGTGTGCTATTGCGACACCATGTGATGTGTTGGATGGGTGGCATCAATTTGTGGTTCGATTATATGATGAACATAAAGAGTATTTGGTTGTGGTCAAGGCTAATGAAGAGATAGTCAATTGTTGTTGTCGAAAGTTTGAAATGGAGGGAATATTATGTGGCCATGCACTTAAGGTCTTGGACATGATGAATATTAAGCAAATTCCCGAGCAATACATATGTAAGAGATGGAGACGAGATGCAAAAAAAAGTTGTAGAACAACCCCCATTTTAATGTCAAATGAAGAGAATCCCAAGTTAATTGTGGCATCACGTTACAGGCAGCTTTGTCCTAGAATGGTACAACTTGTTGCTCGATGCTCTGGTCTTCAACCTACATATCAATTGGTGTCATGTGGTGTTGAGGATTTGTTCAAACAAGTGGATAGTATGTATGCATCAATTGGTGATGGTGACGATGATTCAATCCATCAAAATGTTGACCCAAGTGGAATAGATAATGTTGACACAAACCTTCTCCAAGTTAAAGGTTTAAAAAGAAAAGAAAGTGGTTACAAAGGTTGGGGTCGACTAAAATCTTGGCAAGAGAAAGCAATAAAAAGAAAAAAAGGAGTTTCCCGACCATCACATATGCCTACGGTATCGTATAAATATAATTGTAGATTTTTTTAATTCACTTCAAATTTTTATTCACTTTATATTTTTATGCACTTCATAATTGTAAGTATTTTTTTATTTCAGGTACAAGGTTTCAGTCACCCGTATACATCAGCATATGGTCATTCAATGTCTTCTCAAGCTTCAAATAGTGTACAAAGTGTTATGGTATGTTTGATGTCTTCTCAAGCTTATGGTACAAAGTGTTATGGTAGTTTGACATATATATCAAATTTTTTTGTCTGACTCCTTCTCATTAATGTAGGGTACTCCGACTAATTCAACACATGTGTATTCTTTAAATGATGCTGAATCATTTTTCATTGATGGAGGATTCAACTTGTAAGAATGCTTGGAGGATCAACAGTTATAAGGATGAAGATGAAGGCTACTAGTTGCTTGTTGGATCATTTAATGAACCATTTCTTTTACTTGGATCATTTTTTTGAAAACTATTTATTTTTAATGAATGTGATATTATTTTGATGAATGTAATTTTTTTATAATGAATGTGATATTTTTTTGATGAATGTGATCTTTTTAATGAATGTGATCTTTATTGATAAATATGATTTTTCAAGTCACAACAATATACACAACCCACATTTTCATTCAAATTAAACGCATAATTTCATTTACAACATAAGTTTCATCAATACATCATTGCTCTTATAGATCTACTTCACTAGAATTACAAATATAATAATCACCACTAATAATGTGACTACAAACATATTTGACTTCAATGTCATTACATTGTCTTCAATTCTTTGTACATTGTCTTCAATTCGTCGTACATCCATCCTTTCATTTCTAATTTCCGAGGAGGGGAGAGTAATAGGAGTCATCCACTTAAAAAGTGACTGGAATCATCTGGACATTTGCAATATAGTTTTCCAGGATTTTTTTCAGATTCTGAAACTTTGATAATCCCTCTTTTGCTACAAATGGGGCAATACATATTGCGATATCTTAAATCTTCATTGCTTGTTGCCGTGCTTGAAGATGTCATTCTTGAATCAGGTAGAATTGCTTGAACAAGCTACCAGGTAATGGATGAAAGCTGTTGGACATACACAGAATATTGCAAATCAATTACGATATTTCACCAAATACAACAGCAAATCAACTTCTGGCATTTTGATGTTTGGAGCATCAAGCATATAATGCAGAAAATTTGATGCAAAGACTGCAGAAAATCTGATGCAAAGACTATAGAAAATCTGTTGCAAAAAGTGCAGAAAATTTGTTGCAAAGAGTGAAGAAAATCTGTTGCAAGTAGTGCAGAAAATCTGATGCAAATAGTGCAGAAATTAATTCAAAGAGTGCAGAAATTCTGTTGCAAAGAGTGCAGAAATTCTGTTGCAAGTAGTGCAGAAAATCTGATGCAAATAGTGCAGAAATTAATTCAAAGAGTGCAGAAAATCTATTGCAAAGAGTGCAGAAAATATGTTGCAAAGAATGCAGAAATTCTGTTGCAAATAGTGCAGAAAATCTGATGCAAATAGTGAAGAAATTAATTCAAAGAGTGCAGAAAATCTGATGCAAACAGTGCAGAAAATATGTTGCAAAGAGTGCAGAAATTCTGTTGCAAATAGTGCAGAAAATCTGATGCAAATAGTGCAGAAAAATTCAAAGAGTGCAGAAAATCTGATGCAAACAGTGCAGAAAATCTGATGCAGTGTTCCATACCTGATGGGGTGCTGGTATTTTATGAAATGTGAACTTTTACTTGGCTGCTGTTAGTAGCAGTTGAGTTATAAGGTAAAAAATGCAGATGAGTTTATTTTGCAGCTGGAGGATACAAGTCAAAATTAGGCATAAGAGAAAAATTAGGAAAACAATGTCCACATAATTGCTGCCATTAAAAACATCACCAAAATAAGGTGATTGAGCCTTGTTCAAGTATTTTCACTAATGCTTGTTCAAGTATTTTCGCTAATGCTTGTTCAAACATTTTCACTAAACATAATAAAGGGCATACAACCAAATTCACAAAGTTCATTGGATTATATTTGTTCTCCAAACTCCAAAGAACTTGAGACAAGCCCATTCCATTTCACATACCACCTCAAGTAATTTTAAAAATTCTAAACATAAAAGATGTATAGTTTGAATCCTATATATAAAATCTGAAGCATATAAAATTTGCCTATAGAGAAATTCCAATTCATAAAGTTTTCACTGAATGGGTAACACTTACTAGAGGTAGTAATTTTTGAAAGCAAGACAGTATAAAATTCTAGTACTTCTGTCTAACAAACCATGTCTAGATATCAAAGACACATTTCCTGCAAAATATGACATACTCATTAGACATACAGCAGCAAAATATTCATTATTTGAAATTGAAGCAAAAATCGAAGACAAATTTTGATTCACAGCAGAACAAGAAAGAGAGTTCAATCCACATCTCTATTTGAAATTGAAGCCAAATTTCAATGTACCAAATCTGAGAGTTCAGCCCATTCAATAGGACAAAAATCTGAAAGAGAGTTTAGCCAAATTTCAATTAAAAAAATCTGACAGTTCAATCCACAAAAATTTGAAAGAGAGTTCTTTCCGGCATTTTCTCAAACAGGTGGAGGGTGGGAAGGAAGAGTCTACGACTTGTGTTGTCATTTTCATCAGGAACAAAAATATAAAAGGAATAGACAGAAATGCATGTAAGAATGCTAGAATTGGATTACAGAGATCTAAAGAATTGGATTACAGAGATTTAAGGGAAAAGGGAAGTAGTTGATCCTATAGATTCTGAAAAACCACAATGTAGATAATCAATGAAGTTACTATAGAGAGACCTGGAAGCTCCCTGGACGAGACTGTGGATTGGAGGAAGGGGGGATGTGATCTTCTCAGTGCATTGACGGGTTTCGTAGCAGACAAGGGAAGGAAGAAGATCAGTAATTGGAGAGAGATATAGAGAGAGGAGGACAAAAAGTATGCGTAGGAAGGGATTTGAAGGTGATTTATTGGACAAAAAACGATATCATTTTGCTGAAAAAGAATAAAAAAAAAATACAAAAAATACTTAAAACGCCACCGTTCAATTTAACCGGGGTAAATGGGTTACTGCAGAGGAGCCGCTCCCATACTTTCCCATTAAACAACGTTTTTCGTAAGTACGTAGTTGAACATTTTCAGTCGGTCGCACTCGCCGGCTCATCCATGCCGTTTTCAGTTTCAACTTTAACCCTCCTCAACCCTCTTCACGCTTTTCTTTTTCCGTCGTCACGGTTTCCTCGGAAAACCAATAAATTTTCTTGGGGAAAGTTCTCATTTTTCTCGTAGAATCCTATCAGCAAATCCACCTCAAAACTTTCCATAAACCTCCGCTTCAGTTCCTTATAATCTTTGCAGAACACCCAATGACTAATTTTTTGAGTCTTTAAGTTCCTACAAAAAGAGTCGCATTTCCATTTTTAGATTGGATTTCATCTTTTTGTTTGAGGGTTCCAAGCATTTTGGTCGTGAAATAAAAAAATTGCCCAAAACTAGCTCTTGAATTTTGTTTTGCTTCGTGGGTATCTCGTACTTCTGAATTTACAGTCATAAAACTACGAGAATTTTTTGTTGTTTATATCAATTTGGACCCATTAGAGTTCAAAAATTCCTCATTTTCTGGGTTGAAGGCACAATTTTAAGCTTTTGCTTTGTCTAGGGGTGTGTCTGGGCGGTTACACAACCTAACTTTTGGTTGATACTTTGATTGTAATCCTGAAGTGGATCTGTAGAAGAGTGGTCTGAAAGTGACTGTTTGTGTTGGGTCAAACCGAGTTCTAAGGTGAGAGATTGATCGTTTAAAAGTGTTCTGAGAATCTTCTCGTTAAGATGACGATTGATTCGTTGCCTGGGAGTTCAGGGTATATAGATGCAGGAGAGAGAAAAGTAACTTATTTCAGCAATCCATACGTACTGGGTTTGACTGTGGTTGCTGGTATAGGTGGTCTGCTTTTCGGCTATGACACTGGTATAAATTTAATATCATCATAATTATGATTGATCTGATAAATCTCTATTGTTCAAGTATTTGCTGTATAATTGCTTTGATAAATCCATATACTTCACTTGCTGTGTAATTACTTTGATAAATCCTTGTGTTTCAATTAATTGATGTATAATTGGTTTCATAAATCCTGATTCTTTTAAACTTATTGTTTTCTTTGTGTGCAAAATTTATTCAGCGGTCAAAAGTGCTTGGTGTGCTCTAAAGTAATCAGTTTGGAAGGCTCGTTCTTTATTTTAAGTTAGCTTGAAAGATTCATTTGTTTGAAATTTTGTAGAGCCTATCAATTTTCTAGTCCCGGTGTATGTAATTGACCTCCTTTTTTGGTTTATTTACTTTTTTTTGTTGTAACTATTCAGAATTCCTTGCATATAATATTCACAGAGCAAACTAGTGGCTTTTTATTATGTTGGTTTTTTTTTTTTTTTTTTTTCTGTTTCATTGTTTTTGTGGAACCGAGATTAATGGATGAGGAATTTTCCTTTTCTCCTTTTCATTTGGGGCGCTTGGGTTTGGATGTGGGGTGGGGTTGGTTTCCCTCTCCTTGATTTTTGACCTTCGAATACAGGTTATATGCTTTTACCCTGCGACTCAGAAGTAAATAGAACTTGTTAAAATTTTTGGATTTACATCTAATTTTTGAGACCTGGAATTCTTAGCAATTTTCAGTGGGGTGAACTTGAATTCCACTCTTAATTAAAGTCCTATTATTTGATTTTCTTTATAGTCCAATTTGTAGTTTTCCTTTTCTTTTTGGCATAATTTTGAAAAATGGCTGAAGTACTGAACTGTGAGTGACTTTCTAAACTAAATCTCTAGAGTGGCTTTGTCTTTTTAGTTCTTTTGAGTATTGTTCCTTATGAAAGAAAGAATCACCTAAGAAGATGACTAGATATGGTTTAGTTTTTTTTGCTTGTTTTATGCTTATTCTTTTATCAATAGCATGATGTTTCTATAGGTAAGCTCAAAGGGTATTTAAAAATCTATACGATTTAACCATGGTAAGTGTGGGACAAATAGGATCTGAAGAAGACTTGCGTCAGTGTTCTTCTTGTTATCCGTTTCTGATGGCTGTTTGTTTGGCTTTATTTTTGGACTTTGATGTTCATATTCTAAATAATTATTTTTTCAAAACATGCCGTTGGTACTTGAACATAATTCCTATACATCAATGATACAATAAATTATTGCACACCAAGACCCGCAGTGGCAGCAGCCTCGTGCCCTTTCTAGTTATCCAGGATTTATGTAGCACTTGCAGTTTCCATCACTGCCAACGTGAAAGCAACTTAACATGTTTTTATCTTTCATCTATGATGCATTTGGTAGACTTCCAAGAGATGGGTAGTAATTGATAGAATGCTTATATTTGTGCCATGATCTGATCATCCTTCCCATAAATGGCAACTTCCAGATAATCTCTGATTAGGAATTCTGTAACCTCTCTATCCCCATTTACGTCTTTAGGCAACATTCATCTGATTCTGCAGTGCTGTGTTATGAGTTTCAGCATTATGATTTGGGTTTTTTTTTTCCCGGTGGACTTGTCTCTCCTGATACACTTTGTTTTCCTCCTTGAAAACCTTCAAAATTGGTAGGTGCTCAATAAGACATAATTCAAAAGTAAGGTGTTTATCATAGTTGCCAAATCAGCCGTATCTCCGAATAGCATTCATGTGTGGATAATTCTATGTTGTGTATTATATTAATAGCAATAACCCGCGTCTGAAAATACTCTACAATACCAAAAATTGAACATTGATCATACAACACTTAGATTTTAAATAGCAATTTATTTTTATTTTATTTTCTTTAATTATGCAATTTAAAATTAAAGTGGATAGAGAGAAAATAAGAGATGGAAGAGAGAGGTAGGGGTGGATTAATGGGGTTGTTTGGCATTGGGGAGCATGTTAGTTGAGTTGTCTGACATTGGGGGCCGTGCAGAGAAAATAATATTTTTGAGTGGAAAAACCATTTTTGAGATGAATTTATACCATTGGATCAATCTTGACCGATGTTGTGTTTTAATAAGTTGAGAATTCAACTTCCTAGCTTTAATGTTAGATAGATGTTATGTCCTTTTGTAGACTCTTTTGTTCATATATGGATCTCAGATTCTCTTTAATTGTGAAAATCTACCTATCATTATACAGTAATAAACTTATTAGTACACAAGGCAATTCTTTTCTTTTCTTATTTGTAAATGCTTCTTTTTGAAGTTTCACTCATTGTACTTGTCATATGAAAAATTGAAGTACACCATATGAAAAATTGAGACCTTGATCTCTAATTTCCCAATGGCCAGAACTATCTGCTAATTCCAACAATGTCACATTGACAGATAGCAAATGGTCCATTAGCTTATAATAGCATTATCCAAAGACTCTGCTGTCAAACACTCCTCTGTTCCTAAGTGATGAAAGTATGCTGAGTTTGACAAATTTCTGCATTTTAGTGATGAATTGGAATCGATTGTTCGACACACTCCTCTGTCCCTTGCTCTGTCTGCTGAAAGACTAAGAAAAAGGAATAGTAAATGCTTTAGCAGGACAGGGAAAATAAAAGTTTCCTAATTAGATGGACAGTGCACACCATATGAGTTCTCAAATTCAAATCTTACGCAGGACAATGCATTTTTCCATGATCACTACCTTTGTGAAGAGAATACATGTTTTTGATGCATTTTTCTTCTTGACCTCTTTTTGGTATTTTATTTTTCTAGTAGATGCATCTCCTCCTCTAAAAAGTTGTTTAGTATTTGATTCATTGTTTGTTGCAGGAGTAATATCAGGAGCTCTGCTGTATATTCGAGATGAATTCGAGGCTGTCAATCAGAGTAGTTTCCTACAGGTATTAGTTCTGGCTGACTATTCACTTATATTTGATTTGGTTCCTATGAAGAAATTGTGCCTTATTTTATTCCTGGATAGATTAGGCAGAAAACAAGAAACGAAAATAAAAAGTTTCCTCCCTTTTGGTTGAGTGCCAAGAGAAAGCCATAAGCAAAAGGGTGGGGGGGGGGGGGGAGGGAGGAGAATGTACATCTTTTGTGGGAAATTACAAGTTAGGTTTATTTTGGGTAATAATTTTGTAAAAATTAAAATTCAATAATTTTTATATCAGAACTAATGGTTCCATATCCCCTTCATCATTGCCAATCCAAATAAACGTGAAATTTAAAATTTCCAAATTTATCACATAAATTATTCCCTAAAAGTGCAAAGCTGTTAAGCTAAGATTAAAATTCTCTGTGCGATTGTTCTTCCTCTTTTTTTTTTCTTCATTTACTTTTTGTGTTTGCCTATTTTCTTGAGTAACTTTTCTTTACAATTCAAGAAAATCATCACAATTGCGAAATTTTTTCTGCTGTTGGAGTTTCTAATTTGTAAATTGACAGGAAACAATTGTCAGCATGGCTTTGGTTGGTGCAATTATTGGAGCTGCAGCGGGGGGATGGATAAATGATGTTTATGGACGTAAGAAAGCTACTCTTTCTGCTGATGTTGTCTTTGCAATAGGATCCATTGTCATGGCTGCTGCTCCGGATCCATATGTTCTTATTTTTGGACGGTTGTTGGTTGGCTTGGGGGTGGGCGTGGCATCTGTCACTGCTCCTGTGTATATTGCCGAGGCATCCCCGTCAGAGATAAGGGGAAGTCTTGTGAGCACCAATGTGCTTATGATTACTGGTGGACAATTTCTTTCTTACCTTGTGAATCTTGCTTTCACAGAGGTCAGACTTTTATTGCTTTGTCATTTCAAGCTTGCTTCCATGTTATATTGTTTGTCCTGATTCAAACCAGGTCCTGTTATGAAGACACTTAAAAGTAGATATTGACAATGGGGATTGTGCTTCTGTTTTGAAATTTATCCAGTACATTTTCTACAGATTAGGTTTTCAAGTAAGTAAATTTTGTTCGAGTCGGACCATTGGTCCTGTTATGTTTTAGAAGTGAACTCAAAATAGGTTCTTAATATCCTTCCCTAGTTATTGAACTTTGAAATTCTTAAACAAGAATCTATTCCAAAAGTTTAAATTGTTAGAGAGGATGTAACTTAAGTATTTATACTTCAGCATGCTCCCTCACCTTTTAGGTTAGATTTTGGGTTTAGGGTGGCAACAAATTTAAACATTAGATATCTTGCTCTAACACCATGTTAAACAACCATTTACTCCAAAAGCTCAAGCTGTTGGAGTTGGTGTAAGATGGTTACCACAATTCACTAAACTCCTAATGATCCACGATCTGTGTATATCGATCCCAAACGAGATAGGTTCGCGATCCAGCTCACCAAAATGGACGACCCCAAATTGTAATACTAATCCTAAATTAATTCGCTTTAGAGCATGTAGCACAAATATAAAATACATATTAATTGACTACATGCATATAGATTTATAATTATATATTATTTTAGATAATAGAAAACAAGTACAATTATAAGATAAATGATAACTGACTTAATGTAATATATAATGTTGTATAGTAATAAAAACGATCTACGTAAGAGTTTTAAAACGAATTGCGACCCAAAATACCGTACCATCTAAACCTACCTCTATCGTACCGCGTACCTAAGAAAGTGTCGTACTATGTACCTGTACCCGTACCACGTACCAAAGCAACCCACGATCCAAGTAACATTGTGTGTAACTTATGTATTTATATTTCAGCATAAATAATACTCAATTTAGCAGAGAATATTGATTTATTCATCCTCTTGTTATGCATTGATGTAAAAGTGATTCCTCTAATTTGATAGAAGGTGGACAATCTATGTATCCACTCAATAACAGCCGAAAATTATTAAACACTGTATGGTCGAGCAAAGACAACAATAGCTAGCTATGGACTACCTAAATTCTAATTGCATTGTCCGAGTTTCTTCAGGAGGATGTATCGATGAGGATATTTATATTTTCCTTTCTAGTCTTAAAACAGGACTTGAATAATTGTTAAATGAAAATTGAGAGATCTTCTTTGATTTGGTATTCTGTAGCATCCTTAAGGATGGATTCTTAGCTCAAATGGTAGGACTGGGAGGTAAGGTATTGTACTATCAGTAAATGTCTTGATCCGTCATTTTATTTAACTTCTCAGCCTAGTAATATTCTGTTAACTTATAGAATAATTGTCTAACAGGTACCTTGGCTTCACTATCAGAGTAGGTAATGAAAAATCTAAAGACATCGAGCTGACAACTTTTCTTATCTCTCTCTCTTTCCTCTAATACTTTGAACCATCAACATCAATAGGTTTTCATGGAGCATATTTATTTCTATTGGATGCAATATTTTAGGAGAAATATATGTTTAGTTCATGCTTACTACAATATTTTCTTGGCACGAAAAGTTTTTCATTGTGCAGTTTCAAAGAGGCAGAATCGAGATAGAATATTGGGGCTTGCATTATAAGTTTTTGCAATGAGTAACTGAAGGAACCGTTCTTTCTTTACTTGCCTATATTGGTTGTAATGTGCTTTAATGGTCATTGGCATCTTGCAGTTGATTCCGTTGTTTAATGGGAGAATGCGTTTGATTTTTTGTCGCCCTTTTTCTATTAGCATAGGGTTACATATTAGATCAAACATGAATTTTGTGGGATTTATGCCCTTGGGTTTTTAATGGTTGTTCAACAGTTATTGAACTCCTAATGAAGGGCCTTTTTTTTGGCAAACTCTTGCTGGTTCTGCTGCTTGGCCTGCTAAAGAGGTCATTTTTTGACAAAAGGGAAGACATTTGCCAATTTCCCCAGTTGTAGAGTCATTTGACACACATTTGCTACAATGAAGGTGGATTTTCCTTCCATTGTTTACTGTATTTGTGTCTTTCTTTTTTTTTAATTATTTGGTACTGACGGTGTCATTTGTCCTTTTTGCCGATTGTATTCTATGATCTTTCCTTGCCTCATGGCATAGGTGGAAGTCACCATGGTTACTATGTTAGCTCTTCACTGGATTGCGCATGGAAGTTCATCAATCTAGCATTGCTGTTAACTTTTCCAAAATAGGAAGTGGCTGTTGTCCATAACCTTTTGTTGTACCGGCTGTGCTGAGATTTGATTTGCTATTCAGTTTGTCAATTTTCTCTTTACATTCGCAAGACTGCTAAATTTAAATTGTTTCTTCACTTTTCATGAAAGACAGACATGCCTGGAAAAATTCGTACTCTATCGGCCCTTTCTTTGTTAGAAATTTTTTTCCAAGACTTGTTTGTGGAACTTTTTCATGTTCAAGGTTATGCTGAGGACTTGGTAATGAGTTTTTGGCAAGGAAATGGATAAATTCTATGTTCTGATAAAGTTTATTGAAGTTCTCATGTTAAATTCACTTATTATTCAGGTCACGCTAAGGTTGAACTGAAACATTGGACTATCAGACCATGTTTATATGATCCAGTGATGGGCTGGAAGAGAGAGAATTACAGCAAGCAAGATTATATTATTTTCAAAATTTTGGAGAAATTGATTTTATAGGTCCAATAACTAAGTTTAACCAAAGAACTAAGAGCTAGATTGGTATTGTTGCAGCTTCTTAGAGGCTCAAGAATGTAAAAACCAAACAGAACCTTGCACCATGAAGGTTTAATTTTAACTTAAGCTTCTCTTACTTTTTTAGGAATCATGTTTCGCTAATTTTTAACTTTTGGACATATGGGTTGTACAAGTATTTTTTTTTCTCTCTCCCCCCCCCCCACACACACACAAAAAAAAAAAACAAAAGAAAAAATCTCCAAAACAACAAAAACTGAAAAAAAAAACACTTTCTTTTAGGTCACGTCATGTTTTTTGGGTCTTTTTGTATGGGATTTTATCAAGATGGCTTTACCAGCTAGTGCTGTCAGTTTTTGTTTTTGAATTTGAGATTTACAAGTTCTGAATTAGAGTGATAAGTCCTATAAGAGTAGAGGTCGTGGTTTGGTGCAATGCTAGATGCAAGGATCAAAATTTTGTTTCGGTGTATTGTCTCGGTCACCTAGGAAACGGAAACGTTTCGACATATTTCAGAAATGTTTTGACCCATTTCGGAAACTTAATGAAAAAAATAAAAAATTTAAGAATTATTTTTCTAAAACATTGATTGAAATATATTAAAATATCTTGAAATACGTTGAAACATTCTGAAATTATTGTGCAAATACATTGAAATATTATGATATATCTCGAAACATTATGGAATACCTCGAATTATTAGAATTTCGATTCCATCGCTGTTTCGTTTCAGTCTCCTTGAAAACGGAAGCGTTTCGGACGCATCAACTGTTTCGAAACGATATTTTAATCCTTGGCTAGATGCTAATGCTGCCAATCATGAGAACACCAGTGTGAGCGTGAGAGCAGCTACTCTATGCAATGGTGCAGGAGCTTAGGCATATACACTTTTCGCTCTCCAACATCCTGTATTTGTGGGACCATACTTTGCTTGTGGCTTTTAGCACCAAGAGGTGGAGGAAATACAAAACCTTATACATATGTGTAATGTCTTAGTTGGTACGGTATTTTTGGGTCGCAATACAGTTTGAAACCTTTATCTAGTTCGCTTTCACTATTGTATGTAATTATATATAATAGTAGATCTATAAACACCTATTTGATTACTATTTCTTTTACATTTGTAATCGATTTTCTGTTATCAAAAATCATGTATAACTATACATCCATATGCACATAGTCAATTAGTGTTTACTTTATATTTGTGATACATGTTCCAAAGTGAATTGATTTGGGGTCAGTATTACGATTTGGGTTAAACATTTAGGTGATCTAGATCCAAATCCCCTTAGTATTTGTCCAGAGGTTTACAGTGCCGTTGTGATCTAGATCCAAATCCCCTTGGTATTTTTCCACAAGTTTACAGTGTCATTTTCTTGAATTTCTAGTGACCAAACACCTTCGAGACTTGGTTAATTTTAGTCTATTCCCAAGCTAAATACAAAAGCTTTCTAACCTGAATCTACCATAAAATCAATATAGGTGGCTCTATACTGATTTAGAGTGCTGTCCTACATTAATCAGTTTGTGAGAGCTTGTAAGAGTGTACTCTGGCACTTAATTATTTGTTCTTTTATATTTCTAGTGGTTGACAAAGAGCACAAATCCTACATCCTGAATATTGACATTTCCTGACAGTTTCCTAATATTGAGTGGACAAGTAGGCTGATACGTCTCTATCCATAGGTGAAACTATAGCATGTTGGAATGATTTCATTATTTTTTCCAATCAATTGTCCCCCAAGAATTTCTAAAATTAAATTTCATGCCTTGCTTTTTATGTTTGGCTGTGGTATTCTTTAGTCTTTTACATTTTTGAGGGGTACTATGTGTGAAGCTTTTGCCATTTGAATGGTTGAGCAGGTCCCAGGGACATGGCGATGGATGCTTGGAGCATCTGGAGTGCCTGCCATTATTCAATTTTCTATTATGTTATTCTTGCCCGAGTCCCCACGCTGGCTTTACATGAAGGTTCAAAAATATTTTATACTTTATAAGAAACTTCTTTTCATGGAACTCTGATTCCTTACCAGATACTTTTCGTTTAAGCTATTGACAGATTGATATCCATTTCTATGAACCTGCAGAAGGATAAATCTGAAGCCATTGTGGTGCTCTCTAAAATTTATGATCCTTATCGATTGGAGGAAGAGATTGATCAGCTTGCTACTGCATTAGAGGAAGAATGCCAAAGAAAGAATGATGTCAGATACTGGGATGTTTTTAGAAGCAAAGAAATCAGACTTGCATTTCTTGCTGGAGCTGGACTTCAGGTAATATATAGACTTCACCAAAAAAAGTGTTCTATCTGCTTTTTTTTGAGTCTTCAAAATTTGACCAAGGAAGTTCTTTTCGTTGCTGCTATATGTGGGTTGGTTCAGTGTTTTAATTAGACAATAGAAATCAAAAGGGAGAAATTAGATAAGCTTAAATTGAAGAGTTTGATTTTAGTATTATTATATTATTTAGGGGATATTTGTTTGACTAGGATTGTTTTAGTAATTTTTGTATCGAGAGTTTTACTAGGAAATTATTCTAGAGTTTCAGAGTGTGTTTGTTAACCTAAATTTAGCACTTAAAATGAATGTATTTGACACTTATTAATTAAGTCCGCTTGATATCTAAAATTAAGATATATTAATATGTTAAGTGTTCCATAAAAATAGGTTAAAATATTAAGTAAAAGATTCCTTACTTAATTCTAAAAGCTGAAAGCGCTCAAGAGGAACATTTTTATAGTTTTTTCAAAATGATAATTTTATCCTGAAATGTTTCACAATTCTATTAAAACTCTAAAGTGCTCTTTTCTTCAAAACCCTTAATCTCCTTAGCCTCCACCGCCTGTCAAAGAGGTCAGGTATGTTCTTTTCTCCTTTCTTCCTCCCATTTTCTTTTGCTCACACACACAGAGATTAACACAAAATCACACGCAAACGCACACAATCACACAAAAATACATGCAAACACATACACACATGAAAACACACAATCATACACATACACATGCACAACACACATAATCACACACATACACATGCAAACACACATAATCACACACACACACACGTGATTTTCCAACAGACACACTCACATAATTATATGCATACACCCACATATTTACACACACACACACACTATCACATAGATTTACGCACATACTGCACACACAATGATTAAATTAAGGCACCGCACAAATATTAATTTAATTCATTGTTATTATATTCTTAATTTGTTCAATTTTTAAAAATGCAATTGTATTTTGGATGAGATGCAGGATGCAGTTTTTTGAAATGAGTGATTCATTATATTCTGTTGCGTGTAGTATTTCTTGTGAGAGCAAATCACACATAGAGCAGTGGATATTATTACATCAATTGACAGCTTTAAGTGATCAATTTAATTTGAATTAATTTTATTAACATGTTTGTTAAATATAGAGGACAATATGATAAAAGTGATTATGATTTATGTTTATGAATTACTTATAGTGATATATTGTAGTTTTTTATCTATAAATGCATATTTTATAAATATTTTTAAAGTAAAGAGTGAAAGGGTAAACTTGAAAATTAGTTTATTTTCAAACGTCAGATTTTTGTAGTTATCAAATAGTTTGATTCAATTCAGTACTTAAATTTCAATGGGTACCAAATAGTCTACGAATTAAAAATTAAGCATTAAACATTTAAAATTCAGCATTCAGTTTTCTGTATTCGGCTTTCAATTTTATCAAACATCACCTTAGTATGAGACTAATTTGGGAGTTTGATTAGAAGATTGTCATGGAGTTAGAGTAGGAGAACAATTTTGTTTTGTTAGCAATGTTGAACTATAAATATGGAGGTAATCCTTATTGAATTGATTATTCTTTGTGGAGATTTGTGTTTGTTGACCTAATCCTGACCTCCCTTTCTCCTCCTCTTCTTCTTCTTCCTCCTTTTCTATTTGCTTATTTCTTCTCCTCTCTTACATGGTTTGCTTGTAAAATAAGGCTTCTTGAGTTGGAAAGTTAGCTTTGAAAATATTACAGTAACTTTCTGTTTTTACACAAAAATATGATTCAGATTTTCTCCGGTTTTTATGTACCACCCAATTCCAACTAGAGCTCGCCAATATTCAAGACATCAGTATTAGATATGTAACATATGTTAGGCATTGGCTATTCACAAAGTCAAAAATAGTATGACTCCATTGAAAAGCTTTTATAGGACATAATTGAATGAGATTAGCTTGGTTTTTCATCTAATTTACAAATGTGTGCTAATGAAATCAAAGAATTAGAAAATATTTCAGTCAGGCTCTTTATACCCAAGATAACGTATAAAATCCAAGAGAAGATAGTGCCTATTATATCCCAATTTGAAAAATGTAATGAAGCCATGACGCGAGCCCTAATGTGCACCCTACATATCTATTCACGTAACTTTGAATAGTTTTGGTAAACCTTTTTTAGTAACCTCTTTTAGCAAAAAGTCTCATACAAAGTTTGTGTTTTGCAAATGGCATTTGAACAAGGTTGTTCCTAGTCCTTTGATATTATCACCAAGTTCTATTTTTTTGTAAAACAATATTATAATAAATTCTAGCTTTTATATACTTGAATCTTTGTATTTATTTCTATGTATGTTCACTTTGCTTGTTTCATTAATAGCTATTAGAAAATCCATATACATGTTATTGTTGGAAAGCTCATGTCCCCTTGTTGACCGTTAAAGTTAGAATTTGTTGTTGTTAGTCTTTTAGAGAACTTGGTTTGAGGGCACCTGCAACATCATCATAATAGAAGGTCTTAAGTACCATAATAAGTCCACCATGACAAACAATAGTTATCAACATATTGAATCTGTAGCTTCAAGTCTAGGAAAATTGGAATAAAATTATAATCATGTTTTACAAATCACTAGAAAATAAGATAATAATCGAAGTAATATAAGTGCTAGTTTAAATAGTATCAGTGATTATAATCTAGGGCATTCTCCGAAAGTGATGCATTGCATCTGCACTAGGGGATTTCGAAAAATGGGCAAGGGGCACCGCATTCAATTGCTTGGATGCGGTAAAAAATTCACAAGGGTTCTTGGATCAATCTCGACGAGCGCAGGAAAAGAAGTTAGTCCAAGATACTAGACTTAGGTTAGCAACTCAGAATACAAGAACACTCACACAGGTAAAAGAATGAGTTAGTTGAAACTATAATTTGAAGAAAAGTTAATATAGCATGCCTATAAGAAGCTAAGTGGGAAGGAGCTAAAGGTAGAGAAATTGAAAATACCGGGTATAAACTTTATTATAGAAGAAAAGATAGACATAGAAATGGAGTAGGAATAATAGTAGACTCATATCTTAAACAAGAAGTGGTAACATTTCTTAGGAAAGGAGATAGAATAATATTAATTAAACTTGTAATAGAGGGAAGTATAATTAATCTTATTGGTCCATTTGCACCTTTTATAGGATTAGGTGAACACATTATGTTGAAATATAAATAGTTAAGTTATACCCTTTCGAACAATTTAAGCTTTTGAAGTAGATGGTTGTTTAACATGATATCAGAGCAAGAGGTCCTGTGTTTGAATCTCGTCGTCACCCTAATTATGAAAATATTTTTGCCTGCGAGGTCGAAAATCTAGCCTATACGTTAAGGGGGTGTTGAAATATAAATTCTTTAAGTTACACTATCTCTCACAATTTGAGGTTATGGAATAGATGATTGTTTAATACATTAAAATTCATTTTGGTAGGATACTAATGAATTAATGAAAGTAATATCTATAGGAGAAAGAATATGCATAGGAGGATACTTTAATAGCCACATAACGATTGGATTGGATATGAGAGGGTACATGGATTTGGAGATAGGAATGATGTTGGAGATTCTGTTTTAAATTTTGCTATATCATAATAACTTTTAAAAGTGGATTACATAAAAGTTAAAACAGATTTTTTTTCCCAAGTAGAGGAGGAGATTGTAGATCATGTAAGGACTACAAAGTCATTCCAAGCAAGAGCTTAATCACAAAATATTGGACAATGGTACTAGACATAAATATTAAAAATCCAAAAACTAGAAAGGTGAAAAGATATATTTGTTTAAGAATAAAATACTAAAAGTAGTTTGAAATTTAGAAGATGAAATAAATATAATGTAAAATACAATAGTAGAACATATTAAAAAAATAGCTATTGAAGTTCTTGGAGAATCAAGGGGTAATGCACTTTTATCAAAGAGAAATTTGACGGGGGAATGATGAGGTTCAAATCGCTGTAAAAGCAAAAAGAGTGCTATAACACATGGCAAAAAAGTAAAAATGAAGAAATATTTAAAAGTTACAAGCTTACAAATAAAAAAGTAAAAAAACGGGTAAAAGAGGCTAATTACAAAGCATATGATGATATTTATTCTAAACTAGATACAAAGGATGGGGATAAAAATATATAGACTTGCTAAATTAAAAGAAAGAAACATTAGAGATATTAGTCGTATTAAATGTGTTATGAGTGAAGACTCTATTGTTTTGGTACAAAACGAGGAAATTAAAGGAAGGCAAGAGAATTTCTTTGAGAAATTACTAAATGAAAATCATTTAAGTAGCTTAGACATTGAGGACAACAGAAATCCTAGGGAGCTTCGACACCTAGTCCTTTGCTCTAATTAGCTGAACTACTTGAACCATTTTCCTAAAGTCTTGTTTTCTTCATCGAATTGCGCCCTTTCTTACCACTTTACTAGTAGGAAAAAACCCTTGACTAAAAAGGAAAATAGAATATATAGGCTTTTTTCGCTTGTTTATCAAGCTTTCGAGTAGCTCTTTCAGCTATTGTCTAATACCCCAACATGCTCAAGAACCGAGAACTATTTAGGAATTGGATTTTTTTTTTTGGAGGGGGGGGTGAGGGGAGCTTACTTATAGAAAGAAGATAGGCCAGTTGAATAAAAACAATGCGCAACAGACTTTTCGCTTCTAGTCACTAAGTAATGCTTTTATATCTTCCGGGGACTGGACTCCACCAAGAGGTTCTTTCTCTCGTGTAATTTCACTCGCCCCGTTCATCTGTGCCAGAGAAAATGGGATTCAAAGCCATGGTACAATCTTCTTAAATGTCAATTTAGCAAACTAATGCCTTAAGCCACTCAACTATACCTCCAAGTTGTTGATTGAAATGAAATTTGATGTACCGAATTTGGTTGGCTGCCCAAAGGGCTATTTGATCCGATTAATTGTGTAAGTTGTAGCGCGCTTGTATGCATACTCTTCCTGTATGAGCGAGACTCCATCAAAATCTGCCACTCGTTGGGCGATACCTTCTTTTCTATGAATATTCCACCATTGAATGATGAACTTTGCCAGTTTTTGCCTCTGACCCGACTAAGAGAGAACAAATGGTCAAACCAACCTTTATCTAACTTGTCAGAATTGAATTCATTTCTCCTACATCTAGTCGAGAAGGGAGAAGAATGATGAACTTTTCCAATTTTCACCTCCGACCCGACCAATGGTCAAATCAAGCCCTTATCTTACTCGTTTAAATTGAATTCATTTTTTCTACATATGGTCGAGGAGGGAGAAAGCCAGGGAACTGGACTGTGACTCTTCTATTACATTATGGAGAAGTCCATTCTTGTTAATAAGCTAGCTTTATTAATGTGACGGACTTTTTCATTGATTGCACAAGCTAGCCAACAAACACCCCTTACCCTTTAATCTATAAAAAAAAATCTCTTTTTTTTTTATAATAATAAAGTAAGCTTTCAAGCCCCATTATTTATTATATTAATAAAGCACTAGAGTGCCCTTTGTATATAAATGTAAGGCCTTAGTTTCCTAATCTTACTAATAAAAGGGATGTAGTTCTTTTTGTTTTTTTGCTTTTTGGTGTAGTAAAGAGTTGTTTGGAATAAAAGCCTTGTCTCTCCCTTTTTACTAGGAGAGAAAGCTCCACGAGCTTCCTCTTTGTTCTATAGAAATGGATGGAAAGCCGAACGTAAATGCTGGATTAGAGAAAGACCTCCTTGCTCTCTGAATAACTGGCTTTAGCAATTCCACTTTCCATCACTTATAATATAGAGCTTGTGGAAAGAGTAGTTGAAGAAGCCAAAACAAGAGAGAGAAACAAGTTCCGCTTATTTCTTTATTATCACAGCATCAATATAAACACGAGAAAACCTTAATATATCTGAAGAATAGCTAAATTAGTGTTTTTATAGTTTAATTCTACTACTTGACCAATTATATTTACAAAAACTTTTACTTATAATTTATGATTTGTATACCCTAAAATTTTTTGTACATAAATTAGGCTCACTATTTGATTTATATTTAGTTTTTTAAACCAATTTCCTACCATATCATTGGTACTATTTTAACTAGCACTAATATTACTTAGATTATTATTTGATGTTTTATCTATATGTAAAACATGAATAAAATTGTCTTCTAATTTTTTTAGATTTGAAGCTATACATTTAATATGTTGGTAGGCTTTGATGAGACCTAAAACCTCCAGATATGGTGAAGTTGCATTGCATGTGCATAAAACCTAGTTCCCTAAATAACCAACAATGACAAATTTTATCCTGGTCAACAATGGGATATGAACTTTGCAACAATAATATAGTTGAAATCTCAAAGTGTTGTGTTTTAGGGTTCATAATGAAGAAGAGGCAAGAAAAGAGAATAGAAGAGATGTAAGAAAATTAGGGTTAAGGGGAGTAAGAGATTACCAATCTCCTCACTCATATTTATATTAATCTCATAATAAGCTGCAAATTACAATTGTACCATTATGAAAGTTGAAATTTATTATAATAATGCTTTATAGAAAGATAAAACTTACATATAATACTCAAAAACTATAAACAACCTTCTTTTGTTACCACTTCCAGAACACAGAGACATTATACAAGACTTTTTATAAAGAAAAAGGTTGCCAAGAAAATGTTCAAAAAACCTATTCAAGGTTAGATGGTAGAGACGTAAGGAAGAGTTGGAGATGGAGTTTTGACAAACTTGTGTCTAATTATGTGGAGATAGTCTTGCTTTAAAGGAAGGTTACTTACAAAAGACAAAAAGACTATGTCTCTCTTATTTCTAACTTCTCTATTCTTTGGCTTCTCATGGCAACCATGTACTTGTCTAGTACACAAGTGTCAAGAGACTTTATGTATGGCTATTTGTTTATAACCATTATTTGATACTTGTTTGTGATTTTTGGATACAGATACTACTACTTTAGATAATCGGCTCTTCCAAAGTAGTTACAATACAACTTTGCTGGTTGCAAATTGTATAGGTTCACTGCGTTTTTGCAATAATGTTGGTGTTGGCATCACTACTTATCCATCAACACAATTGTATTTTCCAAATTGTGATAGTAGACACTACCTTCACTTGCACCTGATACATTATCTTGGTTATAAAACCCTGATTGAAAATATCTTTTCTTATTTTATCAGTGTACATATGAAAATCAAACGGTAAATTGAGTTGATCTCATTTAATTATGTCTTGTAGCAACTTTTTCGTGGAGTCATATTGTTCTTGACTCTATTGATAGGTGTTATGTTATGTGTTATTTTTAGATAAAAGGTAATTTTGTACTTTGTGATTATTTTCTCTTCTATTTTATTTCTTCCCTTTTCTTCTCACAAACCCAAATTACTTCGTAATTCAACTTGGTATCAAAGTATCGATCCAAATTTAAAGTCGAAGAGTTGTCAAAAATCGTTGAAATTTATCAGACCTAAATGGTGATCTGGTAGACGTCAACAATCTCCCGTGTTAGAATTTTTTAAAATTTTCATAGGAGACCCAAATTTGTGTCTTGAGATTTATGGTGATTCTTTTGAAGCCATCTGGTGTGCCTTTTGATTTTTCAAAGGAGAACCCCTCATTTTCTAACTATTCCAGCTCCTTTTTTTGCTTGATGGGTGCGAAAATAGTGGATCTAAAACACCCATGAAGGTTCATTGAAGTTAGATTAGATTTAGCGCATTTTTGGGCCATTTTTGAGGTTGACAACAGTGTTTTTTTGCCCCTGTTCATATTCGGCTACTGTGTGGCTTTGATCCTTGTTGTTTTTGGCTTCGATCTTCCTGGGTGGGGTGCGAATGGGTCTGCATGCCCATGAAGTTTTGTTGAAGTTGGATAAAGTTTGGGATGATTTTGGGCCAGACCTGAGGGTCGACAACCTTTTTTTTGGCTTCTGTTGAAGTTGATCAGTTGTTTCAAGGCTGGTTTTGGTTTTTTGGCTATTGGATTGCTGGGTTTTGGCTGCTGGATTGCTGTTGCTTTCTGGTTTTTCTCCTACAGCCTGCTGGATTTCTGGAGCTGTATTTTTTCTATCAGGAGATAACTTGTGAGATTTTTGGCTTGGTCTTACTGTTGGCAGCACCATCTTCTAGTAATGCTAAATCATATTTGTTGCATTTGGATTGATTTGAAGCATTTTTTTTGGGCATTTTTGATTGTCAGCAGTAGCTATTTGATTTGTTCAGTGAGTTGGTTGTCTTCAATTTGTTTAATAGAGGATACTTTACCTTGTTGCACCTATGGGTGTTGTGCTTGTCATATTCAACTATTGTTGGAGTATTTTTATGGTTGTCGTTCTTTTTTTGGGGAGTGATTTCTTGGGATTTATAGGGCATTTTTTGGTGGCTATTGTTTTTTGCTCAATCCTACTCAATGAGGTGCAACTGGAGAAATTTGTTTAAGCTTTAGGTCGAGGCATATTACTTGAGTTGTATTGGCTTACTGGGTTTGTGTAATTTTTGGTGATTATTGGAAATGTTGGCTATTTTGTTGTGAATGTTTGACCGTGTGTTCTCTCCTGGTTTGGTCAGAGGCAAAAACTGGCAAAGTTCATCATTCAGTGGTGGGGTGTTCATAGAAAAGAAGGTATCGCCCAACGAGTGGCAAATTTAGATGGCAATGGGGGAGAAAATATAGCATGTCGCAACAAAAGCTTGATTCGAGGCGTAAACAAAACATTGCCGTTTGTTCTAAAAACAAAAGTCCCTTAGCGCCCCTGGACAGGAGTGGGGGACGACCCTACGTGCAGACAATAGCAGCACCGGCTCTACGAAATTAAAATCTAATATTTCTGTTAGCATTTGTTCGTGAATATTCAATGGCGTGAAGCACATACCAAGAACTTCATTTTGTTGACTCTGCCAAATAGAATAGAACCAGTCTGTTTTCATACTCAAAAGAAGAGTTTGATCCTAGCTCAGAAGGAACGCTAGTTATATGCTTAATTCATGCAAGTCGAATGTTGTTTTCAGGGCTGGGCAGAAGGAAGAAAAACCTGCACTAGCGTCGCTGATGATGCAGAACGCTTTTATATAGAGAGGGAGTGTAGCCTCTATTAATTTCACTCAAGATGAGATGCAGATTCTTAGGCGTTTGGTGGCTCGACTTGATATTTCATCTACTACAACTTCTAATCCTACCTATTGTTCTAACTTTGCTTATACATTTATATCTATTAGTGTGATTACTGCGTCGTCCTCATATACTCCTTGGATAATAGATTCTGGAGCCACGGATCAGTTGACAGGTTCTTTTAGCATTTTCTCTTCATATTTTACTTGTTCTCGTAGGGATAAAGTTTGGGTGGCCGATGGATTTTTTTTTCCTATTTCTAGGAAAGGTTCAATTAATTGTTCACTCTCTTATCTCTCTCCTCTATTCTTCATGTTTTCAATTTTTCCACTAATTTATTGTCTGTTTGCAATATTACCAAATCCTTGAATTGTTTAGTGATTTTTTTTCCTACTCATTGAATCTTCCAAGAACTGGAATCAGGAAAAATGATTAGTAATGGTAGAGCACATGGACATTTATGCATTAAGTTGAGGGGGAGTGTTATGTTATGTGTTATTTCTACACTAAGGGTAATTTTGTACTTTGTAATTATATATATAAGCTGTGTAATTTAACACACTACTCCATTCTCATAATATTTTCTCTTCTCTTCCTCTCTGGTCCTTCTCTTCTCACAAACCCAAATTACTTCGTAATTTAACTATAGGCAATAGGGTATCTATGATGAAAATTCTTCTTCCACCAGTTATTTTTAAAGTATTTTTACATTTTTAAATCATTGCAATTCTATTTAATTCCAAGAGATTGTCCACCTTATAAATTTGAAGGGGTAGTTCTTCTACTAGCTCTTCTTTATTTTGGAGATTTTCCTCATCCTCTGTAAAGTCGTCGTTTGTAGCTTTCTTTACCATCCAAATCTGGGATGGTTAAAGAATTTTTCTTTTTCACGTCACTAGATAGAGTTGTAGACCAAAATGTATAAAAAATACTTGAATACTATCGTGTGGCTAGATGACATATGACAACATGGTCTTGATCAACATAAGGAATTGATGATGCCTTTAGATATACTATTTATCAAAGACTATCTGGTTGACCATTCCCCAATTAACTCGACATTCCAATATTTAGATTCAAACCGTGGGGTTAATTTTGGAACATTAAATAAATTAATGCCAAGGAGTTCAAGTTTGAATATTGCCTAACGGCATTTAGGTGTAATTCCTTACGGTTATCTTGAAATATAGCACGTAAGCACACACTAAACATTATATCGGGTCTACTAGCCATCAAATAAAGCAAGCTACAAATCATACCTCTATAAAGCTTAAAATCAACAGCTTTGCCATTTTCATCTTTGTCAAGCTTTAGTAAAGTACTGATGGGAGTCTTTTTAGGATTTTGAGTTTTCCAAACCAAATTTCTTTATTAAGAAGTTGAGTTTTTCAAACCAAATTTCTTTGTTACTAAACCATTTCCGTTTTGGTGGAACAAATTTGAATTTGCAGGCATTTCAGCAGTTTACTGGTATCAACACGGTCATGTACTACAGCCCAACGATTGTTCAGATGGCTGGCTTCAGTTCCAATCAGTTAGCACTTCTACTGTCCCTCATTGTTGCAGCAGTGAATGCTGCAGGTACAATTGTTGGAATTTACCTCATTGACTATGTTGGTCGTCGAAAGTTGGCCCTCAGTAGCCTATGTGGTGTAATTGTGTCTCTAATCCTTCTTGCTGCGGCATTCTTCCTGGAATCATCTGGTTCTACGAATGGAATATATGGGTGGATTGCAGTTTTAGGCTTAGCCCTTTATATTGCTTTCTTTGCACCTGGAATGGGGCCTGTACCATGGACAGTGAACTCAGAGATATATCCCGAGTCATATCGGGGAATTTGTGGAGGCATGTCAGCTACTGTGAACTGGGTATCAAATCTCATTGTTGCCCAGAGTTTTCTTTCACTTGCTGAAGCTGTGGGAACTGGTTTAACTTTCTTGATACTAGCTGGTGTGGCTGTGGTTGCATTGGTGTTTGTGACTATGTATGTGCCAGAGACGCAGGGTTTGACATTTGAAGAAGTCGAGAGGATCTGGAAGGAGAGAGCTTGGGGTAGTGGGTATGGCAGAGAAGCCCTACTTGAACCAGGAAATCAACCGTAAAGGTTATTACATTTTTTTTTTCGTCGTTGTCAGTATTTTATCTAATCGTTTTCGAGCAATGCGAATCTTCCTGCATATATTAAGGCATGAAGATTTTGAGCCTATGACTTTACTGAATTTTAGCAATTACGGCAACACATTAGTAGCAGAATTTTTAGGCCAGGTGACCCGAAGACATGATTGGTCTGGGATTTTGCTAGCATTTGCTGTGTAGGAAGATGAACTTCTTTATATGAAATTATAATTAAGCACAAGGGATTTTTCATGTGATTATAAATAATTTTGCCGGTGGATGTTTTTAGGCACATAATGCTTGATGTATTAAGAACTTCGATGTGCTTTTCTACTAGCTTATGTGTGGAAGTGCAGGTTTGTGACTTGTTTTTATGTATCAGCCAACATGGCCTCTAAATTTCTAGTGTTTCACTTTCTCTGAACATTAAAGAACATTGCTCTGAACTCTTGGTGGAATAGGATCATACTACACTTTGTTCATGAGTTGGTACACATTTAGTTCCATCATTCATGTTTCACAAACAAGTAGTGTATCTAACCAATAGAGGTGGTTTAGTGGTTGAGCTTGATTTTTGGTAATTTAAAGTTCGTAAGTTCAATCCGTTTTCACACTCTATAAGGGTTAGTCACTCTTTTTCCTTAAGAACATGCTCTATCTAGCTCATGTCACAGTGGTTGTCACTGAGCTCAAGAGAGTAATAGGCGCAAGTTTGGATACCTTATAGCAAAAAAATAAAAAAAATAAATGCTATTGTATCTCACAAAGATTCTGAAAAATTTAAGCTATATAGCAACCAAAAGAGATTGTCAGGAATATTGTATTTATATATGATCTAATATGTGTCTGATAGGGCTGTAACTTATAAATGGTTATACCTGTGGGTTGAAACCATATCCTAGGGCCCAGAATGTTGCCTTTTTTAACTTAATTCCCAAATTAAAGTAGGTTTGTTTTTTTTTTTTTTTTTTTTTAATGAAAGCTTAGGCTGAACTCACCTTGTTTAATGGGCAAACATGATTTCATGTTGGGTTTTTTTAATTTATCAAAAGTGTGTTTTTCAAGCACGTCTTCATTTATTTATTTATTTCTGTCTTTACATTGAAAAGTGAGTTTACACTTGATGAAAATTTCTGTAGTTTGAGAAATAAGACCAAAACCACATTATATGGGGAATAAAGTCCAAAATTCCTTTTAGAATAAGAAAAAGCTCATGGAACTCGAGTATCTATGTTTAAATGTTGGATAAAAATTGGATGGAATCTACAAGTTCTTGATACATTGAAACATGTCTTGCAATCCTCCATCATGCAAGTGATACAAACCTATCTTCTTTCTTCACTTGCCTAAAGAAAAAAAAAACCAATATTCTTTTTTTTTTTTTTTCTTCTTCTGTTGTTACATTTTATTTTTTGTGTATTTTCCTAGCATAGCTATTAGCAGAACCCAATCACCATTAGTGGTGAAATAAAACTACCTATTAGTTCTATTTTTCTTGTTGAAAAACATGAAGGTTAGATAATTTGCCAGGAATCAAATAACATCACAAACACTGTGGTGGTATTCTTCCTATTTCGAAAACTTCATTCTGCTTTTTGGCAGCTAGCCCCAAGGTGTCTTAGAATAGAAAAACTAGATTAACTAGCCTTAGAACAAAACACTGTCAGTACAAGGAAAGGAGGACCCGGTTCTATCCTTTAAAACAAAAGGCCCACTTTTAACTTAGCTCCGAAAACACAAGGACATCTCTCCTTAGAAGAAAAAGGGGAAGACAAACGTGAAAGCAAAAGAACTAGGGGAGATACAAGTACTAAACTGTGCATACTCAAGAGATAACATCTGCAACGTCTAACTAATCTGATCTACTAGCTAGTAATAGGGCTAATGAGAAAGCGGCATCTCTTATTGATTGAGTCATTTGTAAACTTCTATTAAGTACCAAAAATTTGAGCATGGATTCCAACATACATATGAGACAAAAGCAAGCTCATATCTGTTAGAAGATTTTGGATGAACAAATTGATGAAAAACAAAACAAGTTACTAGAGATGTCACATGATACAACTATTAGGTAAGATTGTTGATTGACTTGTTTACTTGATTTCCCATCATTAGTTAGCAAGTTTTGGTCCAAAGTCTTTGAATCAATTAATGATGAGTAGGCAAGTTAGATATTATCATATGCTTTCTCCACCTAGACACTAAATTTGATGAAGACTTGCCTTGTTCAATCAGACATGTATTTAATTGTAAAAGATATTTTCGCATTAATTATCTCTTCGCTTTCTTGGTAATTTATTACGGTCGTTAAAGGGACACGAAACCATTCAATACTTGGTTGATATTGACTCTTCAAAATATCACCTTAACAATTCGATATTACGCAACAATCAAAAACACCAAAAAAGAGTGTGTTGGCATAGTGGCAACGTACAATCTACTAAGAAGCATACATCAAGAATTAAACCAAATAATTCTCGCTAACTAATTAAACAAAAAAAAGAAGAAAAATATTTGACTTCCTAGATGTGTTGAGCTCAGTGATTGCACATCAGCCATTAAGAAACTAGAGCTGTTTTTTAAATCCTATTGCCATCCCTAGATAATAAGAATAAGATAGAATTTAGGTAGCTATATTTGTGTCTTATTGAACACAAAAGGATAAAATGCACTTTGCCCCTTTAATTTTTTTCCAAAATGATTTATGTCTAACTTGTAAGGATACTAAGGGTAGTTTGTGCATGAAAAATACGGTGTAATGTGAATGATTTTGAGAGAAATGTTGGTGGCTGTTGAATAAGTCTATTTAAAATTGTTGCATATACTTACTGAAACCTACCTTATTTTATATTATAGATGTGCAAATAGTCATGAAATTTAAGATGTGGGGGACCATAGTTTGTAGTTGAAAACTGTAATTAACTCAACACAAAAGTTGTCAAACAAGATTGGCTATAATCAGTTCAGTTCAACCACTCTATATGTTCCATCTAATTCAGTTCAGCCACTATACGTATATCTATCTATCTATCTAATATTATAATTAGGAACTTGAATCCTCAACTTATGAAAATATAACAATTCTTAAGATTGATTTAATTTTCATTTACTTTGATATAATGATAGAAAGTTCATTCTAAATTTTTTTTCCCGACTCAAAAACATTATTTTTTTTACACGGCCCCCAATGTCATAACAATCAATCCACACACTCTCCAATATCAGTCATGTGGCACCCCAAATTCCGGGGGTCCGTTGATTATTCATCAACCCGCGGAATGCCCGTAGATACCGAATAACTCGATATCTCAACGTTATGCCCCATTTACCGGGGTCCATCATTTATTAAAAATTTGGGCAGAGTCTCCTTTGTAAGGAGAACTCTACTCAAAACACAACCTGTGCATTATATAATAACAAGACTCATCCGAAGTCCTATATTCAACAATGACCACACTGGATCCATTTATAAGTAAACTTTGGCCACACCGGGTCCAATTATCCATATTCATACAAACATGCAAGATTATATTAAAACAGTCGATATAGATTCTATCACAATTCTTTTACACATTACATGCCAAAATTTAATTACTAGGGGTTGTAAGGATACTAGGGGTTGTCCATGCTTGACGAGACAGTATAATGTGAATAATTTTATGTGGCCGTTATATAAGTCTATTCAAGATTGCCGAATAAACTTACTGAAACCTACCTTGTTTTATATTACCTGTCAAGTAATTAATGCAAATAATAAAATAGAGAGAAAACTCAACACAAGCAACACACAATTTAAGTAGTTCGATCAAGGTGATATACTCCACGTTGAAGGGTTAGGATGGTCTGAGTGTTTTATTGTTGTAAGAGTGTAAGGAAATCAAGTGAGAGCAATGAGAGCTCAGGTGAGGTATAAGATGTGAGAGATATGAGAGTGATGCAAGATGCGATCCCTTGTGTGAGATGTCCCACATATGTAGGTGGGGCTTATATTTTATAGTCGCCTCCTAATAGATTGAGGCGACTTATCAGTAACTAAAAATCTAATTTGGTGGAGGTGCCGTCATCTTCGCAACGGATGAGACTGTTGTGGGACTCTCCTCAAGACCAGGTCTTAGGATGGAGTGGTTGACTTCCTTACTTTTGACTCCAAGGTGACATGGATAAGGCTCTTAGGATGACGCTACTTACTCCTTAATAACGTAGCGCTTGGAGCCTTGATAAATCTGACTAAGAGTGGATCTCTTTTGGGTTGGACCCATTGAATTTTGTATAGGTGAATTCTTTATTCAAGTTGGGCCCACAACCTGAGTTGGGTCTTGGTCCGGACCCATCAAGTGTTATTCAAAATATAAATGTTGCAAAATTGATATTTAATTTTTTGCATTGTAGCGTGTCTAATCTATATAATAAAATAGAAGTGTGTTTGAATTTTAATCTAGTCATATTTTTTTCCTCAAAATTATCACTAATCACTTACCTTACCCCATCATCCCTTTGTCAGACTCAATCGTTAAAGCACATAACTAATTTCTATCACATATTTAATCATTCATATATTTTCTCCCTAAAAATATCACACACTCATTTCTATCATATATTTAATCATTTAATATTTAATTAATTTGTAGTTAATATATTTTGAAAAAATTTAATATAGCGGGATCGATTTTTTGGATGCTCGAATTTTATATTTTATCATACCTTCAGGCACGGGTTATGACTAGTATATATATATGTTCCATATTTTTAACTCTTGGTTGTCTCTAAAGACATCTAGGTTGTGGCATTCATAACAAGTGCTGCATGTATAAGTTGAACTCGAGCAGCTGGACTATTTTATATATAAATGAACCTAAATTTGTATGTTAGTCGAGTTTTTTGCACTTATTTTTTAAACGAGTCAAAAAAATTATTTAAACTTGACTCATTTTCTAAACGAAAGAGTTGAGTTTAAAACGAATCGAATTCAAGTCAATCCCGTATAACA